GAAAAGCAGGTGTATGATTGTGATGTTAAATAGTAAATTGATGATGATTCTGATGAAGACGATGATCCAAATGAGGTGGATTTATAGAAAAAAGAAGTATTTTCTTTAAGTTTCTTTATCGGAAGGATCACGTTTTGAGACATAATCTTGATGTCATGCACATTGAGAATAATGTTTGTGAGAATATTATCGGGACTATTCTCAATGTCGATAGCAAATCTAAATATAATCTAAATAGTCAACTTGACTTAGTTGACATCAGAATTCAGCGTGATCTTCATCCCTAATTACTCCATAATAGAAAATCTTGATTATCGCCTTCTATTTTTACGATGTCGAAGAAAGAAAAAGAAGTGTTTGACACGGTGTTGAAGGATATAAAGGTCCTGACTTTATTCTCTAAAGTCACATGATTATCATATATTGATGCAAGATTTACTGCCAGTTACTTTACGTGGTTGTATGTCAAATAAGGTGACGTCTTGTATAATCGAACTTTTCAATATAATAAAAGTTATTTGTGGGAAAGTTCTGATGGTTGAAGAACTTGAGAAATTGCAAGATCAAGACATCTTGTTTTTATGCAATCTAGAGAAGATTTTTCACCTTCATTTTTCACTATTATGGTGCACTTGTTGGTTAATCTCCCTCACGAATCTAAAGTTGGTGAACTCGTTTTCTATCGATGGATGTATCCTATAGAGAGGTGATAATTGACTTATATGTATAGAATCGTCTATTGAATACATATTTTAATTACAACTATTAATATAATATTATATTCTGTATGTAGGTTTTGTGCAAGTTGAAGCCTTACTTTCGTAATAAGCGATATCCAGAAGGATTAATTGCTGAAGGGTATTTGGCAGAGGAGTGTATGACCTTTTGCTCTAGATATTTGGATGATGTTGAAACAAGGTTGAATAGGCCACATAGAAATGAAGTGTGAAGGGAGATGTAGAATATTATGATCGTGCGACGTTTTTCATTTACAAACATCGCTAATATTTGCGGCGTTAGTTTTAGCGATGTCTTTTGCGGCGCTTTTATTTATGTCGGAAAGCTTTTTTGTGGCGCTTAAAAACGCTGTTATAGGACTAAAAACGCCGCTATAACCCTATTATGCTGTAGCGATACAAAACAATAACTTTATAGTAGTGGATATAAAAGGCAACAATACAATATGATTAACACATTATATTATACTACGGATCACACGTAAAAAGTAAAATTTAAACAATAATCAGTGAGGCTAAAAACTTAACGAATTATAATCAATGAGGCTAAAATCAAAATATATTATACTATTTTTTATTAAAACAATAATCAAAATTTAAAAAACCTAAAACACTACTCAACAAGATCAAAATTTTGTTACACTAATCACTCAACCTTAGTAGCACATAAAAAAAAGAACATGAAAGAACAAAAACCTAATCGCCAAAATGAACCTTTACTCGCATAAACATAGAAAATTAATAAACAAACAATTTATAACATGAAAAAAGAATACATTGAAGAATTATTTTGATTAAAAAAATGTTTGGAACAGAAAAAAGAACATCATCAAAAAACCCTTCCAGTGTATTAAAAAATTTAGTTCTGAAGAAAGAAAACAGACACCAAAAAAATTATTAACAACCCTAAATATAAATAATATTGTTAACCTAATTATTGGTCCTAAATCCTTTCGATTTTTCTCACAAAAATGAACCCCCAAAGACCATTTCCCTCTTATTTTTTAAGAACATATTAGCCAGGTTGCATAATTGTAAATCAATATTCATTTAACTTGATTGAGATTTATGAGATAAATTAAAAAATTTGTTAAAAACGTTTAATAAATTCAAACAATTAGCCAGGTTTTCTAATCCATGTGGAAATGATATTATTTTTATTTGCTTATCATGCCAAATCAACAATTTATTAATGTTCTAAATGTATTTAATTTCTTAATGACCAAAATATTAAAAATCGATAAGATAACTAATCATAACTTAGTAAAAAAATAATATAAATGACTAAAATTAAATTATAAATAAAAATATATAAATATAAAAAGAAAGTCACCAATCCTATAGTTAATCCGTATTTTAACTACCACGGGTACTTTGAAATTGCTTAATGGAGATAAGAATTTATTTTCTTTGCCTTGGATCCTATTTTTCTCCTTAGTGTATATATTTTCCTTTTTTTACCGATAGTCATTTAAATTAGATCAATTAGTATCATAACATTATAAATAATTATATTTAAAATTTTATAAAAAAATTCAAATAAAATTTGAATAATAAGATATGACACTCACTAATTCAACCAACTCAATTTTTTCACTCAACTCGATTCATCTCGATCAAATACTATGAACTTATAACTTTACAATTTTAGAAGAATTAAAGGTAAACTACAAGTTTAGTAACTCAATTATCACTTTTATTTCTTCGTGGTCACTCGACTATTTTTTTTAATTTCAAAATCATACCTAACATTAAGTTTCAATTTTATTTTGGTCACCCACTTTTAAAAGAATTAATGGTGATGTTAATGTGTCACCATAAGGTAATGTCACATCAGTACTGAAAAAAATGCAAAGATGCCACATCAACAGTGTTAACTTTTTAACAGCAAGCGACCATAATGAAACTAAAACGTAAAAATAATAGCTTGGTGACCAAAACGAAATAAAAATAATTTTTGAGTACTAATCATGTAGTTTACCCATGAATTAAATAGTATTTGTAAACGGAATAAAATTTATTAAATTGTAGTGTTGCAAATAGAAGTTGAAAAAGCAATCATAGCTACCCGTGGTTAAAGGGTTGCCTATTTATCTTCTTTTGGGTGCTTCAAATTAAATAGAGATTCTGGACAAGGTTGGTTTCAGTGAGTATCATGAAAATGGTGGATCCATCACCCACTTTCGGAATATGCTCGGAAACGGGTGCCGTTAGACAACCCCAGTAAACAACAAAACAACCAGTTTCTCGTGGTCCGAGATCCATGTATATTTTACACTTGCACCAGCTGTTTTATTGCATGCTTCCGTACAACCCCTCCAAGATAGACTTGCGTGGTTTAGTTTCTTAATACTATAATATTTTAAAATGTAAAGTACATACAGTAGACGATGATAGGTGAAAAAAAGGGGTAGGAGGTAATAAAAGGAACACTGGGGTGGGGGGGACACACAACACAAGGAGGCGTCCAATCAAGATATGTAGCATGACGAAAGCAATCTAAATTGGCATACTAATAACAATATAAACAAATTTAATGCAGGCGGGCTCAGCTCTGAGTTGACGTATTTGTCCAACTTTTTTTGGACCAAATTTACTTCTCTTTCGTGAAGGAACTGATATGTGACTACACGGTTGAGTTGAGAGGGCTTAGCAAAGCAAACCCACTTGTCTTTTCGTGGAGATTTATATTTATGGCGCAGGCAAATCGCAGTCGTTGTGTTTTCTAGTCACCCATCCATCAATATGCAAAAACGGATTCTTTTAACCCCAAACGGATCCTCAGGAATGACCCCCGTGTGAATGATTTAGTGGCTAAATAGGACAATCATGCACCGGAAATTTATGAAAAAAAGGGCTATTCAACCGAAAGTTTATTTATTTTATTTTTTAAAAAGACTTTTAAAAATTAGTATTTGTTTAAATTTTTTATTAATTATTGACATATTATATATACTATATATGTAATTGTTCGAATTTGAGATATCTAACAAGAATAACATCATTAAATACACAAAATGTCATCGAACCATAAAATATATTTAAATTATTCTTAATTTTAAAATATCTTAATTAAAATTTTAAAATATTATTATCATGTCAATTGTATCATTTCTAAGTTTAATTGTAAATTTGAGTATTAAAATATTAAGTCAAATTTAGCACTATGTATATTTGAAATAGAGATAAACATGATGATTTCTAGAGACCGAGAGAATCATTAATCTGGTCAGTGATATTATTGAAAAGCTTTTTCATATTTTCGAAGTCTATGCCTCAGTTATATAGACGAGGAAATAAATTTAATGCTAACAAAAAAAGCTAACTCAACTAATTCAAATTAGGATAATTCATCAAAATGGACACTTTGGTTTCATTTTTCTTTAATTTTGTTAATCAAATTTAAAATGGTAACATTTTAATAACTCACATTATCAATTTATAACTTTTTGTAATTGAAATGTTAAATGTAGTTACTTTGATGTTGTGACACATTAGCAAAAGAGGTTAAGTTTCTATTTGACTCTTAAAGTTTAGATAAAATATTAATTTGACTCCTAAATTTTAGATGAAATACTAATTTGACCCTTGAACTTTAGATAAAATTTCAATTTAACCTTCAAAATCCTACCAAAGTGGCCGAATTGGGTAAATAATCCACCTAGGTGGATTATTTGGCCTAATAGGGCACCCAAACTTTTAATTTAGGATATACGACAATTGCAATAGTCCCCATAGAACTCATCACGCCGACATGACGAGTCCTAATAATATTTTAAAATAAAAATAAAAATTTTGTTCCGTTGGTAGACGATGACGACACACCATTAGTTGATGAGTCTGATTTTTTTAGTCTGCTTCAGAGGGATATGGTTTGGATGTTGAGGCTGATGTATGGGAGGCAGTTGTTTCACGATGTCAAGGATTGCATAATGCTCCAAATGTTTGGACACGGACATACCCTCAACCTGAAATGACTCACCATGATTTGCCTCGGTATCATTATGCAGTTGCAATGCATGACATTAACTACGATGTTATGCAGAATCATAAAATATTTGATATGAAGAGTTATGTGCTACCCACTGGGGTTCTTCAGACGAGCGGTCATCTAAGTTGGCTAATGGGTCTTAGTTTGAAACAAAAAAAGGCATAACTAGCAATCAAGGAGTACTGCATCAAAGCTCTTCTTCAATTCTATGTTGTAGAGTCGGATCAAAAGACTTAGTTCGTAAGGTATATACACCATGATGTTGGCTGTAAATGGAGGATACGCGTATCATACATATAACGGAAGATATTGTGGGAAGTCACAAGGTTCAATGCAAAGCACACATGTACAATGACCTCCTTGACACAAGACCACAGACATTTAGATTCGGATGCCATATGCTCTTATGTGAAGTTGTTGGTGGAAAAAATCCAAGAGTGCCTGTTTCTGTGTTATTGGCATCCATTCGGAATACATTTGGTTATATTCCGACTTATTACAAGGCATGGATGGCTAAATGGGAAGCAATGACCTCGTTGTATGGTGATTGGGATCATTCATATAATGAACTACCACGTCTGCTACAAGCAATGAAATTTTTCATCCTTGGAACCATTGTTAGGTACTATACTCATCCTGCAGTCACGCTTGAGGGAGATGTTATCCCCGGGAAGAGAATTTTTTGTGGCTTGTTCTGGGCGTTTAAGCCAACTATCCAAGGGGTTAGATTTTACAAACAAATGATTAAAGTCGATTGCACTTTTTTGTATGAGCTCTACAGACACGTCTTGATGATAGTCATTGCACAAGATGGAGACAAAAATATTTTCCCCATTACCTTCGTCATTGTTAAAAATGAATAGGAGGAAACTTGAAATTTCTTTCTCTCCAACTTGTGTTCACATGTTGTCACTCAAGAAGGGGTTTGCATGATCTCCGATCAGTCGCCTGGGTTGTTAAGAATAATTGGTAGACCCGAAAATAGGTAGACCTGAAAATAGATGGACGCCACAGCACGCATATCCTGCATATTGTATACGTCATTGACAACTGTCGTTTTCGATGTCAAAATAATTCCTTATTCTCAATCAATAAATAAAGGAAATACATAGTATAGAGAAATAAGGGTCGAATCCTCAGGGACTTAGAAAATCACAATTTAATGTTTGAATGGTTCTAACCAGGCGAAAATAGTAAAAAGGGGGGTTTGTAATATGAGATTAAAATGGTAAAAATAAATAAAAAACAATTTAAATAAAATAAGTATGAAGATTGTGAATAAATACGGTAAAAGTAGCCTCAAGCTTCGCTTTGATTCAATATCCTTTAGATCATCGAATAAGATTTCTCTTCGGGATTCACGTCGTTACTTTGTCTACAAGGGCTATCCTTGTGACTCTATCTTGTATACCGAATACCCAAGGCAATCTTGATTCCGGCTTCGGTAGTTGATTCTAACAACATCTATTGTCGTAGATCAATACCGTTTAAGTTCGTGGCGACCGACTCGGATTGTTTTTCTATAACTGTTAATTCCGATCTCAATTCCCTCTTGGCGAAGCTATCTCGCCAAGTGTGTTCCCAGGAAGTCGAATTGCTTTCTATAAGCCGAATCTCCTCCCACACGTTTAATCGCACAACTTCTTGACCAAAGTCAATCTTCGATTTTTGAAAACTGTTTTGATTTTGAAAAATAAGCGCAGAGATTGAGAGAGAGATTCGAAGATATTAAGGGACCGTTTCAATTCTACCGTTGGAATTGAATCATCGCGACAGCTCTCGGCTTATGAAAAGTTAGCTAAGCATGACAAAAGTCATACTTAGCATAAAAAATAAAACTTGAAAATAAAGAAAATAAAAAGAACTTGAAAAGGAAAAGAGAAAACTTTTATAAAAACTAGAGAGAAAGAAGAATGTATTCTGAATGATGATTTAGGCTTACCCAAGTGGGTATTTATAGCCTCTCAAAGCCTAAAGGAAGCAAAGAAAATAATAAAATAATACAAAAGATAATTGTTTTTAAATTTAAATTCAAACTTAAACTAGTCTCCTAATGCAACTCTACTCGTTAATCTTCCAGAAGGCGTGCGGAAGAAGTCTTCTAGAAACCGCCGCTGACTGGACCTTCTAGAAACTGCCACGTCATACCGCGTCGTGCCCATGTCTCCAACCGTGACCAAATAATAAAAAAAATGCAGAATTCGCCCGTTTTGTCACAAATTCTGGAAAACAATGACCTGTACGAAAACAAGCACAACACGACCAAATCAACAGCAATAAATTCACAAAACCAAAGAAATAACAAGCAAATATTAACTATTCTGAACACTCATCAAATTCCCCCTCACTTATCTCATGATTGTCCTCAAGTATGATTAACCAAATCAGTCAAAAACTTCATAAATGTTCTTTGTCAAGTTTTCATATTCAAGGAAGCAAGGTAGAGACCACAATAACTATTGAAGTCAAGAAATCAATCAACTGAACATCACCAATTGAAACAAGTCAAGTGCAATTGTTGTAACACCCCAACCCGTACCCGACCCGGATACGAGCCCGAGATGTCACATTGCCTTTTTAAAACATTTCTCCTTACAAAATAATCGAAACATTTGAACTTATATTAAGAAAATATGATCATATATTGTTCAATTGTGTTTGTTATAAAATTTTGAGATAAAATCGTATTTATGAACAGTGAAATACGGTATGAACAGTGCTACAGTGATCAGTGGGGGTATCGATTCCCTGTAGGGGGAATCGATTCCCTAAATACATTCTGGAAAAATTGGCTTAAAACGTGGTTACTGTTCACTGCTACAGTACTGCTACATTACTTTCGTAAAAATACATAAATACGTTAAAAACATTAGAAAACTCGACCTGAGTGTATCCAATACAAATATTTTATTTATTACATGCCAACTAAATTCTTTCTAACAAAATATATGTAATTCAATTTACATTTCTGATCTGATTTCCGGTAAGGAGAACTGACCTGTCTTGTTTCTCTTTACTTCTCTTTTCGCTTTCCAAACCTACGTGTGAAACAATCACACGCTAAGTCGATGACTTAGTGAGGCATATAAAAACATATAATATAATCATATACCATTTCATATAAATAAAAGGTATACATATGCCAATATTATCATATCATATAAAAACATATATCATTAACATGCTTTTCAATACTCATATTATTATTACTAATTCCTTGTGATCATATAAGCATGTGTTAAACATTTCTATACATATCTTAGAACACATAACATCCTATAATCCATGCAATATCGTTCATATCACCACAAGCATATGCATCTTATATATTGTATTCGTTATTGTCTCTTTATTAGCCCATGGTACATTGGTGAGAACTGAAGGTATGTAAGTACATTGAGGTTGTGCACTAATGCTGTCACCACAGATCGTATAAGTCCCACTGAGTGGCATATGAAATTTGTCCCGAAGGACCACTGTATTGTCCCGAAGGACCACTGTATTGTTCCGAAGGACCTATGAAACCCTCGACTCTTGGCATGCCAACTATACCTATAGCTCTCGTATAATATAACATGAGCATTATTATTTATCATTTCACATATTCATATAAGCTCATAGCTTATGCACATATGTTTGTAATCATGTAGTTTCTTTCATGTAATTCATATCACTTTTCATATGAATTCATATTCATATATATCATTTGTGTTTCATCACTTATTCTTATATCATATAACAGTCTCTATCCTCTTATGTTCACATGACATTTAATGCATACAAATTATATTCAAATATGCCTTTACTCATGAATTCATACATCCTACAAATCATGTCATCTCTTTCTCATATGTTTCCAATACATCACATATATCACTAGTGCAATTTCATGTAAACATGTAAATCATGTAGCATATAGAATATATATATATATATATATATATATATCCATATATCTATTTTCTATGTATAAAGTTACTTCTTACCATAGTAACTCCATTATTGGCTCATCGCAAGCCAATGTTTGTTCAAGAACCTAAGTATAAAATAAATTGCACTCACCTTAGCCTTGCTTTGATTCGATCCTAATCCTTTGATTATTCCGGAACTTGTTTAGGCTCAATATCTACATAAATATCATTTCAAAACAACTATCAGAAGCCTAAACTTTAAACTTGATGTTAATAACTTAAATCGGTTTAATGAATCAAATTCCATTTTTTTCATTTAGGGGGGAATCGGTACCCCTGCACAATCTGGAAATTTTTTTTTCAAACCCAGAAAATCACTGTTCATACCCGAAAATTCACTATAACAACTTAAATTCTTCATGTTTCGTTCACTTTTCTATTCTTAACTCAAATATACATACTTAAACTAATTTATACCCATTTATTTCATCTTAAACCTCAAAATTCTATTCTCCATATAGAAATCAATAATCTTACCAAATTTTCCATGTTATCCAAACTCAATTCTAACACTTCTAACTTCTTATTCTCATAGATGACAAGTCAAATTCAACTTAAAATTCAACTTATCAACTTTATTTCAATATTTGATTCAAGAACTCAAAATCTTTAATCTCTCTTATACCTTTCACCTTGTTGTTTTAGAACAAATTAAACTTTCCTTAAGCTTAATTATCATCTAACAATCAAAACCCAACCTTTAATTGAACAAATAATCAACTAATGAAGAAACCTTTGCCCTTGAGCTCTTACGGGAGGAGGAAGAAGAAAGGAAGAAGAGATGAAATGTTTTCATCTTCCACGTTTTAATCTCCTATTAAAGGGGATAAAAATATCTTTTATTGTCAAATGACCATTTTGCCCTTAAATTCTTTAGATAATTACTAAAAACTTTCAGGAAATATCCTCAAATAAATTATTGAATTATTCAACTATTTTACTTTGACCAACAAATTCTGAAATATTTCACTTTGGTCACTAACCCGGTATTGAGGATGTTACAAATCTCCCCTCCTTTTAAGAAAATTCGTCCTTGAATTTCATTGTACACATTAATAAGAACATATCTCCTGATGTTCTCATGCTGGTTCCTTTATTTAATCTTTCCTTCCTGTTTGTTCTTCAACTAATTTTTTTTTCATCTACTATCGCTTATCATATAAACAGTAACCAGTAACCTCATCCATTTCTATCTTTTCTCTCTTTCAATTCTGCATTTTCCTTTGATCTTTCTAAAATTCATATAATGTTACTTATCACGTACACATTAACCTTCATTTTCATCACTTAACCTCATAACTCAATCAAATTCCGTATAAATTTTAATTACTTTGCAGCAATAACCAAACTTTTATTCCATCAACGTTTGACCAAAAACATAACCTTTCTTCTTCTTCAACTGTGATTAAACATATACTTTACATAATCAAACAATCTTTCACATTACCTTGCACATTTTTCTTACTTCTGCATCGAACATATAATCTATATTTTCATATAACCTTTATCACATTTGATCCTTTATACTTCATAATTTTATTTCCTTATTCTATTATTCTTTTACAATAAAAATCTTAATATACATAGATCATATCTTTTCATTCATATTCACATACTCTTTTCCTATCATACTTATACTTTTCCCTGATTATCAATCTTATCACATCTTAATAACTTTGATAAACAACTTCACTTATACATAACCTCATTCTTTACCATCTCTTGTACTTGGTATTTTTTTCCTCAAAGTTCCCTTTTAAACTTGTAAATACTCTTTTCTTTACCTTCATCATATCTATATGATCCAATTACATATCCATATTCAAAACCTTATCATACTTAATTAAAGTACTTTATCTTCTCTCTCAATCTTATAACTCTATCACCTTTAC